ATAATAAATGGAAAAATATTATAATTTATAACAATCTATTAACACTTAAAATGTAATGTTTACAAGACTATACACGAGTAATATATATTTTGAGACTTAGTTATTGTTCTACTCAATACCTACAACCTAATATGTATAAATAATTGCAGACAAATATTATTCTTTCTTATTTTACTATTGTGTAGATAATTGTTCCAACAATAATAAAGTATACTATATATTATATATAGTAAAATATAAATTCATAGGTAATTAAAATATTTATTTATAAATTGTGTTGTTTTTATGAAAATAATTGTATGGCTGCATAATGCGTAATATGCGTTTTAATATTTCATCATTTGATATAGGCAGTATTAGTTAATAGTTGTTACCATTACCATTTACCACTTCCTATTAGAATTTAATATTTATAATCCATATAAATGTATCATATTATTCAATGTTCACATTACTTGGATTGTACTATTATATAATATTAGGCAATAGCTGCTGGTAACACAGCTAAAATCGAGGTATAGAATAAACTGTAAAATTATGCAACTATTTAGTGGTTTTTAATTAATGATAAAACTACAAATAGGTTTGCCAAAGGCCAATAAATAATAATAATAATAATAATAATTATAATAATTTATAACAACTAATATAATTATATAGGTAGTTACCTACCTATCTAATTATTTAAATATAATGATAAATAATTAATTATTTTTAATATTATATTCAATGTTGTTGAATGATAAGTTTAATTTATAACCTTGATAGGTAATCGATAATATTATGTTTAACAAGAAACCTTTTATTTCAAATAGCTGAAATACTCTAACAGTCAGACCTACACGTATTTTTTATTTTTATCTATAAAAAAAAAAAAATAGTAACTTGGTGTGGGTCCTTAAATCTGCGGAAACTCTCTAAACATATGTATTGGCCTGGGTTGCTAGCTCCCGGATGGGTGACCATCCGTGATTTTTAGCAACAAAATCTTTGCCACGCATACATATGTGTTCCAAGTTCCAACCAACCATTCCCCCACAGTACCAGGCTTATGACCTTAGTATTTGAAGCTTTAATTCTAATAAAAAAAAATTAATTGATTAATTAAGGATTCATCAAAAATTGTAATACCGGTATAGCGGTATATAGGTATATAGAGAAGTTTACAAAAAATATACTTAACTACTCTTTTATATATTTATATTAGTAGGTATATTACTACCAACATATATAACTAAAAACTTGAATTTTTTTAGGAAATATGTTATATTAAAAAACAATAAAATAACACCACAAATATATTAATAAATATTTTTAATCAAGAAGTGTATTCAACTTATGTGTTACATAATATGAATTAAAACTATACGAATTAGATGAATGAAAATATATGTATTAAATATATTATATAACAATTAACAATATATTGTGAAAATTGTTTACAAATATCCTTTTCATGGCATTATATTCCTTCGCACATTGCGCTAATCACTAACACTAATTAATAATCATGTAACCTTATCTATTATTAATTTGGGAATTTCTTTTATACTTATACAAACGACAATATTTGTTTTATATGATAAAGGTAGGTATTTCATATAGATATTTATTATATTGATTTAATAAGTTCTTACTTTTAAGAAATATTTAATGTACAATTGTTTCAAATTCAAACATGTCACATTGCGCACATTCTAATATTCTATCAATATCAATAAATTACGAATTTTATAGCTGCCGTGGTGCACATAAAAAAGAACATGATAAATAGGTAAGGACAGTCATGTAGCCAGGGGGGAGGTGTTGAACCTCCACTCCTAATATATGTATTATTTATATTATTTATAAATGAAAACTGTAAAAAACTTAGTTTAATTTATACTTAATCCCCCCCCCCCATTTCCTAATTCTAGCTATGCCACTGGATACCTCACTATCTATAGGCTATAAGGTCATTTTTTTTTTTATTGAATACCAGTTGTTGGTTTGTTCACCATTATTTATTAACTTCTTATTATGTCCTACTTTATTTCAATTACATTAATTAAAGCTTACTTAACACTGTTGTTGGTGTATGAATATTGAACTTTTTTTTCTTAATTATAACTTATAATTAATACCTAAATAACAATCATTTAAAAATTATATGAGCAGAGAAGTTGATAATCAATTTTGCAGTTACCTGCTCATTATTTCTATTTCACTTCTCTTAATGTAAACTCTAATTTATTTTAAATAAAATACTATAAATAAGTATTCATGTTGAATATTTGATGGTTAGGTAGGTATTTACTATCAATCGCGGAAAAAACGTCCAGAAAAAAAGCTCAGTAAAAAAATTAAATATAAATGTGAACACATGTATACTCTACTCCTAATTACTAATTAGTGATTACCGTGTGGCGGGTACGGAGTACCTATAACAAAATACAATATATTTTAATGAAAATAATTTCAAATTATTATAATGTGTAATTTTTGTTCAAATGTAGTATGTATACTATTATGTATACGCAATAAGGCTGATGTTTTTTACTTATAACTTATAACACTGTATATTATGTATAGATGAGTTCATATTCATATTAAAATTTTTTTTACTATTACTAGTTGTTTTTTATATATAATTAATAGTTAAGCATAAGCCATATTCAGACATAAAATTATTTATATTTGAAATTTTTCATTGAATAAATAGGTAAAAAAAAGTTTCTCATGAATTGAGTATATCCGCATATACAATTGCCTGTATTGCCTATAATAGTTTATGAATTATTAATTACTAATTAGGAGTAAAGTGTAGTTACACGTGTTCACATATATATATTTAATTTTTTTCCGTGGACTTTTTTTCCGCCTACCATTTACTATTTGTATTATAAATATCAATATTTTTAGAACATTATTATTTCTTTAAATTTGTATTATTCTTTTGACAGGTAGGTAATCAAATGACTAATACAATTAAAAATTTAAGGGTTGTAGGTACCTAATACCTATAGACGACATAGACATATGTAATTTAGTAGGTATCTATGGTATTTAAAAATCAATATTCAACAGTGGTTTCACCTACAAACGTAAAGACAAAAAAATAGTGGAAATAAAATATGTTATTATGAATGTATTGCACAAACAAACCATCATATTTAAAATAAAAGGTATCTTAAATTATCGAAATTAATTTTTTTAAATAGGTACATTCAATATTTTTTTAAATAACGAGTATTAACTACTACTGAAGAATTGCCATTTTTATTTTAAAATTTAATATTTTACAGCTTAATATATTAATAAGCATTAAAATGTTTGACAAAATAAAAAAATTTAGTCACGAGCTACGAGTAGAAAATGGTATTCAAATGTTAATACAATTGTATATTGTCAGTCATAAGTTTATAAAATATAGATTTTACGTAATTTGTAAATAGATATGAATAAAAAAATTGTAATCCACAACTTACTTATAGTAATATAATAGACATCATATACAAAATATACCCTGACCTCCGAAATTCATATAATATTATGATGTATTGATGAATACATTTTAACCGGGCGTCCGGGCCGTAATTTACAATAAATTATCTCCTTTTGTTATTTTTTCTTCAGAAATTGAATAAGACTTAACCGGTAAAAATTTTGTTCAAATAAATAAGTATAAGATATCCGTTGAGTTAGGTACGTCAAATATACAGATTACAGATCAGTGTTCACAAATTCACAAACAAGTGAAACGTCTAAATACCTACTTATAAACTATAATATGAGAAGCTGCAAGTGCGGATACAGCAAGAGAGGAAGGATCAGGAAAAATGTATTCAAGAGGATTCAAATACAATAATACACGAGTATAGTATTCAATACAATCTCTTCGCTCAGAATCTAAAATATAAACATAACATTGCAAAATGAATATATTTATAAAAACATAAAAATACTAAATAGGCGATAGTTTTTTGAAAGTTAATCTCGATTTTTGGGCTGATAGATAGGTACTGTGCCTTAAGATAAACATTTTGAAACAACATTTAGAAAAATGTGTATCGGTTACAAACTGCATTGAGTGTTCAAAAATGTTTTTTATCACTAAATATATGCACTAAAATTGTCGAGTGCATCACTAAACCTTTTGATATTTTATTTATGATCATGAAATTAATTATAATTTAATATTATTATTTGTAGGTATGAATTAAATATAAACCTATTCGATACATTGTTTTTATCCACCTGCTCCGCCTTCGTAAAATCCATGGTTTAAATGCACTAAATTTCAGTATACTTGTATAATTGTACGTATATACTATTTAGGTACCACTGAAATTTGTATTGAGAGATGGTAGTACATTACATAATATTATGGCTTCTTAAGTTCTGGTCTAATTCCGTGTGAAAGGACGGGGTCAACGCAACTCACAAAGAGTAGGTGTCTGCTCATCAGTCAACGTTAACCCTTCTCTCTAGATTGTCACGATGGGAAATTGAAACTTAAAGTAATAATAATCAATTTGACAGCATTGGTAATTTTATATTTCAGTATTATTGTAGTAATTTATAATATCATATAATAATAAATGATACAAGACACAAGTAGTATTATTTTATAGTGGTATTATATCGTACGACGACGATCGGACGATGGCTTTGTTTCGTCGTGAGGGGGTGGTCGGAAGCGGAGTGGTAGCCGCCACTGCCTCGAGTGATAACGTCGATTTGTGTACGCGTCGGTGGCGGCGGGCGGCGGCATTCGTCCGATTTTCTGATAAACCGAACCGTCTACGGCGGCGACGCGGCATACGGTTCGCGGGACCGAAATCGTTAATAATAATGATAATAATAATAATAATAATAAAAAATATCCATAGTACTATACGGAGAAAAATATTGTTCATAAGGTCCAACACTTGAACACCTCCGCAGTCCGCCGACGCCAATCGTCGTCCGACGATAGCACAACGCGGAAGTGCGGATAGTTAGGTAGGTACCCACTCTTTTCTTACACGCTCACGGCACACATCAATTTGATTTGTGTGTCGTGAGTAGTTGCTACACAGTACACGCACGTCGCACACTCAAAACGACGCCAAACGTCACGGACCGCGGTCGGTCGTTTCTGTACGTTTTATACTTGTATAAAAAAAAATTAATATTTTAGTAGTCACCTGCGGTCGGTTATAGTGACGGGGTGGATACCTATCTATTCTACTGGCTTACCTGGCATCAACGACGTATCAGTACAGTGCACTAGTTTGTATTCAGTCACGAATGTTCGATGATCATCGTTGTATATGACTTGTGAGTAGGTACTGGACATCATTGTGTTGTATAATATTATGTTACCTGGGGGCACCTTATGTGTAGTGTAGACTGCGAGTCTGTTCTTCTGTACATCAATACTGTTTTATTAATATTATGTTTTCTGGTGTTTACATTATAATAATTAATGAGACTGGATTCGTGTAAAAATAAAAGTTTTGATGTTTTCATATCATTATTAGGTTCTAGCTATACCACACTACCACCCACCTATGAATTATTATAATAAATCTATACAGTTCTGTAGAAAGATATATTGATATGTAGATATTTCAAGTATTTTTTGGTAGTTGGTACCAAATAAGAATAGTACAAAAATGAAAGATCGTAAATAACATGAATTTAACTCTCATAATATTATTTGTTATTTTATAATCTAATTAAATTTTCTAATCTTAAATTATTAAATTAATAATAGAAAAATAGATTAAATTTATTTTACTGGTATTTCTATAATATTAAAAAAAAATGTTTTCGGTGTTCAAATTAACAACTAGGTACTTGCAAATTTGGCACCAAAACACTTAATTTTATTTCATTTTCTTTCATTTATTTTTAAAACTAATTTATAATTTAATGACTCACATAGGTACCTATTAATAATAACTTTAGATTCGTAGGTAATATCTGTTCAATTTTAATGTTACATTTTATCATTTAATTACAATGAAATTGAATATCTAAATTATTATTTTGATAATGACCAATAAGAATATGAATATTGAATACACAGTGAGCACCTATATTATAGTAGATCACTATTCACTAGTATATTTTACATTATAGCTTAACTACAAAATGGACTGGTTGAGTAATATACTAATATATTATAAAGGTACACTGATGACTAATGACTCATATATATTCACCCATATATGTGCAATCTTATGTGAATCACTACTTCTGAGAAATATAAATACAGGATGTAGATTCTTATAGTTTAATATTCTAAACTTATTAATGATGAAGTTGATGCCCCTGCCCTTCTATTTGAAGTTAATTTCAGAGTTCTCACTTTTTGCTCCAGATACTCTTTCCCTTTACGCATTCCTTTTAGCCGCTATTATTATTTATCTAATCCCCCTATTGCCCATATGATGAAACTTGTCAATGAGGACCCACAATTCCTTAGTATATACTCAGTGTAATTATTGTCTGTTCATTCATAAATATTTGTAATTTTCTTGTTAATTTTTATTTAATACAAACAATGTAATTGAGACCTTCCCATATTTAATATACATAAATAAATAAATCTAAATAGGTTTAACTATAACAGTTGTACCTACATGTTAATTTATTTCTGTAGTAAAATCTGAAAATGAAATGGATATGTAGTTAGAATTCCTTAATGTTGACTGTTAAGTTATAAATACCCTTTATATATCAACTTTAATAAATACATAGAATTAAATTAAATATAATATTAATTTGTTCATAATAATATGTTTAAATAATTTTAATTAAGTACAATAAACATATATTTTTTTAAATTTTATAATTTAGTAAAGTACAAATACATAGGTATCTATTTATTTTTAATGATTCATTAATTCTAATGTGAAATATATATTATTTACTTGAGTCTATAATTCAGTATAGATAATATCATTCATTGTATTATATATTTATTCATTTGATCATGACTTCTAACTTATAATCTAGTACGTACTTAAATGATACAGTTATATCTACTTAGTTCCTACTACACAGGTTCTACTGTGTCTTTCTATAATTGTCATAACAAATAATTATTAGTTTTATCAATATTATTAATGATACCTACCTATTTAAATACTTAATTAGTTATATTTGACTAGGAAATTTGAACGAACTTTCCTTTAGGCTATGATTCGGGCCCGCATGTGTTGTCTTCGTCTTACACACTTACAACATAGTGTGCTGTTATTTTTTATACAAGAGTGTATTGAGTATTGACCTATTATAAAATGTAATGATAAGATTATTATCTAGGGCCCCTCGTAGGCTTTTATTGATATTATTTTTAAGTTATGACCTTTTTGAAACTGTTCATTTTAAAATTATCTTAACTTACTTAAAAATAATAATCTCAATAACGGGTTATGGGGCCTAGATTATAATCTTACCTTTAAATTTTATATTAGGTCAATATTCAATACACTCTAACAGCACACTATTGAATCTGGTGAACGACTATTTGCTATGTTGTAAGTATGTAAGACGAAGACAACACATGCGGTTACGATGCCCTCTTAAGAAGATTTATTAATTTTTATATTTACCATAATCATAAAGTTTAATTATTTATTTATTTCAGATAAAATACCAAATATGACTTTTAAAGGCTGCATGAAACGGTAAGCAGACTAATATATTCAATTATAATTCATTTAAATATTATGATGTGTACATTTTTGTTGATTTTAAATTAATGTACATAATATAGATCTATTTATTGTACAATATGGAAATATTAAGCATGGATTAGTTGGTGCTTAGAATTGAGTCATTATATTAAAGATAAAAAATGAAGAGTTTTACAAATGATATAAAAATTAACTATTAAGTTGAACGATCCATGCAAATATAATAATTATACACTTATCTGGTTGTCAAAAAGAAGAAATTTTAAATACCTTTTATTTGCCAAAATCAATAACCAAAACCTTTTCATTGTGAATACATTCACATTTTCACTGTATTTGGTTATGTTAAGTATTGTATTGTTCCCTTAACTTTTTTCACTCCTTCACTATTTATGCTCTGCAATCTGTATAATACTACATAAAATAATTTTTTTAATTATTTAAAATTTTTTTTAAACTTAAATTTAATTTTTGAGATTTTATGATCTAATTATTTAAGTTTAAAAAAATGCAAGTCAAGGCTTCCTAAAATTGTAAGGTTACTGGCCAATGATAATATTATAAAATACAAGAACGTAATAGTATGTCTGGAGTAGTGAAAGGGTTAATAATATAGGAAAACAATATTTTTTTAATCAGAAAAAATATCATTGGTTATTTGTCATGTTAAATTTAATTTATAACAGTTTAAATATTTAAATTTTTGAAAATTAAATATTCAGTTACAATGATATATTTTTTTATTAGCGCCTACAATATTTTATCATTTTATTACTAATTTTGATAAATTATTTTTATTTTTACTCATATTATAATTATAAATAACAATATCTTGAAATAACTTTTTGAATACTTTCTGGCAATTGTTTATTATTATGTTTCATCTATTAGAACACTTTTAAAAATGGAGTGATGATGAATAATGACATCTGAATTGAAGTGGAATTATACAATTACAAAAATAATTTCAAACTAAAATTGAGTATAAAATAGTAATTTTTGTAAATGTAAGTCTCCCGGTATTGTTAAATAGACAATAGATTAAAGAAAATGAAAAATTATATACAAATATTGTAATAAGAATAATCATAGGTGTTAATTTTATAAAATCAGTTCAATTTTATAAAAACTAATTAAAGTAAGATTTTCAATATTTTTCATTAATTATACATTTTTTCATAATAAATTATGCATATTTCTTCACATGTATTTTAGTTAGTATATTTTTTTACCATATCAGCCTATATAATCTTAAACCTGTAGGATGCACTGCCTTCACAAAAAAATTCTATAGCACTGATTTTAATTGTAAACTTATTAGTTCTTTGCTGTATCATTGTATTAATTATATATTTGCATATATTTTATAAACACAAATTATATTCAAATAAAAATTTAATAAATTATTTTTAAATATTAATTAAGTAAGTATAATTATAGCATTATTATTACTCAGTATTTAAAAAAGAAGTAAATTAATCTAAACAAAATGACTTCAAGATTGGTTCAAATCCTAAATATTAAATTTTTTATTTGAAAAATAAACAACATTTTTAAATTGAATAAAAATAATAACAATTGTAGTGCTTTTTTTACTATGTATAACAATAACATATTGGTGTGGTTATATTTCTGACAATAATTGGTGGTGTTGGTGGAATGTATAATGTTTATCAAAATGTATACCTGCTTAACATGATAGTTTTATTTGTATTATGTGTAGGCTATTTATTTTGATATCATGGTGGATATTATTTTTGTATTATGACTTATAAATGATAATAGAATAATTATTACTTATTAGTATACATGTGATAAGAATTTTGTAGTATGAACAATTTGTATGAATTACGGTTCAAGTTCTAGAATTTATAAACAATTTTAGATTAGTTGAGGAACTTTAAATTACTTTTAATGAACTTTTAAAAGAAGCAATAACGAAATATTAATTTTTAGTGTTATAACTTTATAATCAACTCATATTTAGGTTTTTTATAAAATACATCTCTCTATCAAGAATATGACTCAAGTCAATGAGTTTTTTAAAGAAAAAATTACAATTTACCTTAAATTATTTTTAAATTAATAGGTAGGAACATCATAGTACCTATATTATTATAATCATCATTGATAATTAGAGCTTGGAAGTTGTATGATAAAAAATCTAAAACATGCACAAAATCTATTAAATATACAAATAAAATTATTCAGAATTATTACTTATTAATTTTTAATAATTAGTTGCATAATGATATACATATTAGTATATTACTTAATACTGAGTTACTTATTTATTAAAAGTAACCATGATATTAATTTAATGTGGTGCAATACAGCCATACAAGTATACACATTGTCAAACATCTTAAGCTCTTAGCGTTACCATCAGCAAAATAAAAACATGGCTGCATCAAAAAGTTTTGGTATAGTGAAAACATTAGCATATTGCTACTTTGAATCAATTTTTAGAAAAAAAAAAAACCAACATGAAACAATTGAGTATAAAATACATAAGTAATGAACATGAGCATGCCAACTGGGTAGCCTTAGTGTAGGCAGTTGACTCCATGAATATTCATTTTGTAAATCCTTTTGTGTGTATCTATTTGTTTTAGGTTCACTGTGTACACAATTTTATAGGTAATAGATTATAGGTATTAATATGTCGAATACTAGTTTTATACTTTTATATAGGTATAATAATATGATACTATGTTATAGGAAAAGTAGAAAGTTCTGGCATCGTTCTGAATGCTCGATAAATATACGCAATGTGAAAAAGATCAGTTTAAAACTCCAATGTTTCTTATAATGCTCGGGTTAAGTAAACTTTATCCAGAATCTTATAGGGAATTAGAACCGAATCATTTCATTTTAATAATTGTTAAAAAAAAGAACTAACATACTCATCACATTGCTCATTAAATTATTATAATGATACTGTCTAAATTAACTAATTTGAGTAAACAAGGATTACAGTATCTGTAAAACTTTGTATAAAATACTCAAATGTAGTTGTAAAAGTTTTACTTTGCAATTCTTAAGTACCATAATAGTGGTTCATATAAAAAAAGATTGACAAGTGGGACTGCTCCACTGTATAGTAGGTGTCGAGTGGGCACTGATATACTAAAAGCGATTCTGAGTGGAGACTGTCTGAGGATATTTTATTTATAGATGGTATGTCAATATAAATATCCTATTTTGCCAAACTTGAAATTAAAATATCTATAAAAAAATTATGCTTGTTTGTATAATCTTTAGATTTTGGGATTTTGTATGAAGTTTGTAATAAATATTTGAACTATAGTGCATATAAAAAACAGACCACAGTTAATAATTTTTAAGTCTTCAACTTCATCTTGGGTATTGTTTTTATAATGACTTGATATTGATAATAATTTTTATGTTCATAAAATACAGAACACAGATCTGTTTAAAAAGAGAAGACATAATTTCTGCTCACGTTGAATGAGGCTCTACACCACACCGTTTCCTATTTTCGCCTTCTACCGGGTTTTATTTTAAACCAGCTATAGTTTTTAACTCATCTTGTGTGCGAGGATGTGATTTTTTTAATTGCCAGGTGGGTGTTAAGTGTGATACCGCCGGGCGAAACCGCTTGCAGCCTCATGTCTTCTTTTTTAGAGCAGAGTATACGTAATATCATGGAGGCCTGTGGGCACAAGCTTAGTGAATTATCAATGTTTATTAAAATTAGTGCATTATAAAAATATATATTAACATAGTATCATTTGTCAATTTATTTCCATTGATTTTGAACTGTATTGAATGTTAAAAGTAAATAATTTGTTCACATTTTAATGAGTCAATAATGAGTAATGCAATAATGTAGAGCTATGTAGTTGTATTCACACTTTTAGTTTAATTATAATGTATTTACATTCAATATAAATATATTTTAATATTATAAATTATTTATCTGAACTGATTAATTAATCTTAATTTGTCTTTTTCCATCTTAAATAGAGATGTTATTTTTTTGATAATAACAACAAATGTAAAAAAAACATATCAAACAAATTTTAGGTGTACCCCCAAGGCCTCAAAATATTTAATATTATTTTTTGACAACAATTAAAAATCAATTCTGAATTGTTATTAACTTGTTTTAATTATTGTTGTAACATTTTGCTTTCTTAGTTTTTGAAAACGATACAATTATATTTAAGTAATGAAGTATAAAACTCATACAAATAACTAATCTACATTAAGTTACTTCCATATAATATTAAATGGAATTAGACAATTCATTGCAGGTACTATTCTGTGTTTACCACATTGGATGATTTATGACAAATAAGAATCTTTAGCAAATAACTTAGTGTTGACCGCATTACTCTATTTAGAAAATCAAAATTTACCATTTAGACTTAAATTCTAAGCAGATCAAAGGATTCAAGATCAATTGGTTTTACTTAGTTTTTACAACTATGTATTTCATTTTTTCATTTCACTATAACTACCCCTACATATTATGTTTATATATTTAAAAAAAAATGTTCATGTTATGTTCAAAATGTTATACTTGGTAAATAAGTTTCAAAATTTAGGATAGGAATTTTGAGGAATTTGTATACAATTGAATTCATATTTAACATATTCTTCATAAGGGCCTATTCAATAATAACATTCCCTTGAAATCTATTATACAGTACTGAGTAGAGCGACTCCTCTGGTTTTTTTTTAACTATGATACTAAATTAGTTTTATTTTTATTTAAGAACATAATAATTTTGGTAAGATAATAATCAAAAAAAAAATGTTTTTTTTTGACTTCAAACAAATATTATGAACTAAATTTTGAAATAATTTTTTCATGTTCTTGGCTTATTGATGGGGTATTTATTTGTTATATTTTAATAGTTATTATAATTATGAATATTTGTTTTTATACATTGAAATTATTTATTATTTTTATCTCATTTTTATTTTACATGAATAGTATTATTTAACCATATTAAAAAAAAACTTTATCTGTTTGCAGTGAATTGTTTTTGATTCATTATAAATATTGATACTCTTTGAAAAAGTAAATTGCAAATTCTAATAATTAGGTACTTATAAATAAGTAAATTTATTATTAATTAATTACTGTATTATAATAATATAAAATATTAACAACATAGGCTATGTATTTTATAAAAATGTAGATAGCTTACTGAATTTAGCATTGACTGCTATGGATTAAATATTATGTTACAGGATTGTTGTATTATAGATCTTTCAATATCAAACTACTTTATTATAGCTTCATTGTGCTGTGAAAAAATACATATATCTCAATAATGGCACCATGCATGTGTTTTTCATTTATGAAACCTGTGATGATATTCTTGTTAATTTGTGTTTTCGCGTAAGTAATAATATTAAGACTGCATTTCATTTACATAATACATTTACCAAAATATAAATCAACCAATGAATTAATTTTTAGAATTAAAATTACTAATGTATAGTAGAATACTATAACATTCTTGTACTTATTATAGACTGCTTTTAGTCACAGGAATACTCTTAATTGATTTAATGTACTGGGTATACCTAAAATTATTTATTTTACCTATACTACTAACAAATATATACTAAGAATTTGAGCAAACCACTTAAAAATTTGATTAGCTATTGCTTTGCATGAAATCATATACTAATATGCAAAATAAATAACAATTTAACTTTAATTTTTAATATGAACTTCTATAATAATATTGCAACGATCATTAGATAAAAATAATTAAATAATTTTTATTACTATTTATTATTCATCTAAAATTTGAATAATTTTTGTAGTTATTAAAATTCAAAATCTAAATTATGTTCCATTATTTTGTAGAATTTTTACTGTTACAAGTATTACTGAATTTATTACAGTAGAATTTAGTTTTATTAATTGTCATTTATTTTTGTGTATGTTCGCATTAACTCATTAGTTATATAGACAGTGTATCAATTAGCAATTTAGCAAGAACTAAAGAGGTAATTTAATCAACTTGTGTCTGTTCTTATCTTTAGTATAGTAAAATTATAAGCTTTATCTAAGTGTTTCAGTAGGAGATTACTCAATATTTTGAACTATAGGACAATTATTTAAATTTACAATTAATTCTTAACTATGATTGTTATTATTTATTAAAAAAGAAAAGTGTATAGTTTAAAATGTGTACAAAATGTCCCTAAACAACATACCTACATTTTTCTTATTATAGTTTAGTAAATTTCCTTATAAAGAATAAGTAACTGATTTTCCCAATTTAAAAAATAATAATAATGCCTTAACAATAGTATTTAATGTTTACAATGATACAAAATTGTCATGGTAGATTTTATATTGTAGAAATCCATTAAATAAAGACTTACTAATTTGAATTTCTTTAGGAAAAATTTATTTTTAAATATGTGTCGTACCAAAAAAATTAAACTAAAGATAATAAGATGCACACAAAACAAAAAATTCCATCTTTAAATTATTGTTAAGTATTAAACTATCATAATTAGAACTAATAAAATACAATTAAGTCAAACTTCAATATTAAAAAATATTATTGAAAGCACATAACACAAAAAATTATTTGTTTTTTTTTATTTTGGATGAATTTTTAATTCTAACAAATGATGGAATAGGTTTTCTACTCACATTATTCAATGAATTATGAAGAATTGAATAAAGACATGTGATGTCATTGGGCTGAGCTCGTCTTAATTGCCTATCGGATAAGTTACTTTAAAAAAAACATTGCATTTGAACAATGGAAATTATTTTAATTTTGTATTAGGTGCTGTCTACAAACTCTTAAATTACTTTTTATACTTATATCCTTGTCTTGTAATTTTGTGGTTCAACATGAACACTATTATGTCATTTAATTTTTTCAATGTTATGTTAGTCAAATCTAGTCCAGACAGTCCAGTTGTAGAATGTGATTTATAATTTTATCCAGTAGCACAAAATATAATATGTCAGTAGATGGTAATTTAAAAGAGGATTATTATTTGAACAAACCTTTAAGGCTTCAGAAAGGGCAAGTTACACCTCTTACCCCAGTGTAAGTGGTGAATCATACTTCGGAGGCCTTTACAAGAAATTCAACTTCAGCTCATATACTTTAGGAGTCTAGGGCATATACTGTATATATGTATAATATTTGTGATAAATATATTAGGCAATAATAAACAAATTTAAATATTTTTTACTTTATGAAAGAACTTAATGTAGATTGTAAATCACATAGGTATAAATTGTGGATCATTTTTAAATAAAATAATTCATATTTGGCATTGTCATTTGTGCATGAACAATTTTTAAAATAGAAAAACTCATCAGCATCCATATTGTAATTAAATACCTATATTTAAAAAATAAGAATTAACAATTTAATCGATCATGGTTTTTTTTTTATTCATCTATTATACACATTTGATTTAATATTGTATTTTTTCAGGACATGCTGCATAACATCAAGTTTCTTTGCAATAATAATATTTCTTGTATTCATAGTTATACCAATTGTTTTTCGATATTCACCATCACTTCAAAGAGGAATGATATTCCTAAATTATGGTAGTAACAAATTATTTTATTTAAAAATTGTAAATTTATGTTTAATTATCATAGCATGGTGTTTATAATATTGTATGATCATCTTTCATAATAGTCAATAATATTTATAATGACAAATCAATAACTATATGATTATTTTTATTATTCTTAGAAAATCAAAAATTAAATAATAATTCACTTTAACTTGGTAAATTTTCATTCAATTGTATTATAAATATATAATATTATGAATAATTATGAAAATATTAAGAAAAATTATGAATATATTATGAATATAATTTTAAGCCATTCAATTGGAATTTTCATAATCATTATTATGAAAAATCTCTTTAAATATAATGATTTTTTGTGGAGGCACTAAATGAGATATGGGACTTATGGAACATACTGTATGATAAAAGAAACAGAAAATATCCACAATAAATGTAAATTGTAGTATTGGATCATAATAATAATGTTACTCGCATTCCTACTAAGTCGTATATAATTAAATTTTTATATTTCCTGAGTAGTGTTACTATATTTCCTCGGTAAATATTGGATGAATATAAAGATTATGAGTAATAATTTTCAAGACATGCTTTTAATTATTACATTTGATTACCTGTAGTTAGGTATTTGTATATAGTTTGTCAAAATAATTTAAAAAAAAGATTATTTCAAGTTATTTTATTTTATCAAAAGTTCCTACATTGAATATATAGTTTAAATAATTACTTTTTTAACTCAAAATTATTTATAAGAATAATTTATTAGTTATGACAATTATAAACATTATAAAATTGGTTTTATGATATTATAAGATCAATTATGATTATTATATTTTTTAAACATTATCAATACTACAATAACTATTAATTATTTTATTTTAGTTCGTATGCCATCTACCGTTAATTATAGTCATCCCGAAAAGTATGGAATCAGAGGAACTAGAAACTTCCATATAAAAACAAATGACAATATGACATTAGGTGTCTGGTATGTAACTTCTCATTTATTTTTAGGCAATTCAATTTAAATTAAATGAACAGTTGTGTATTGTTTATGTGTAAGTTATTAATTTTTATTTAGGATCTTCTCACAATGACACATTGTATGTGTTAACTACTTTACAAGGTCATTTAAATGTTTAGAACTTACTGTTACAATTTAAATATTCTTAAATACAATGAAATTCTATACTTCAACAAAAAAATATTTTATTAAAATATATAATGTTATGTAGGTTTACAAGATACCTCGTTAGTTATTGTATGATGTATTTGATTATTTTACCATATTACAGGCATGTATTACCACGTAATCTGTTGGATAAATACGAAGATGATAATTCAACTCATGAACAACTTTTAAGTCACGGTGAACCAATTGTGATTTATATGCATGGCAACTCAGGTACACGGGCAAACGAACATCGAGTTCAGTTGTACCACGTGCTTCAAGATATCAACTGTCATGTAATAGCTGTAGATTATAGAAGTATGTCACTTGGACAACTGTCTTATATTTTTTCTTTGTTATGTTTATTTATACAATTTTATTAATTTTTTTTGCTCAAGGTTATGCTGATTCTACGGACGTCGAAGTCAGTGAGCTTGGCGTGGTTACGGATGCAATGGAAATGTTTAGATGGGTGCATAAACGTGCTAACGGTACTCCAATCTTCGGCTGGGGCCATTCTTTGGGAACTGGGTAAATTTTTATTATAATGTTGTGTTTAATTATTAATTTTGTTAATTGCATATAAAATAAAAATAATTATGCAGAATCGGAGCACATGCATATTCACTGCTAGAAAAAGAAGGTCTCTATCCAAATGGCCTCATACTAGAAGCTCCATTTACAAAAATGAGTGATGAAATACGTGAATATCCGCTTACTAAGGTACAATATTATCACTATTATTGAATTATTTACAATCATACAAATCAACATAAATGTACAGCATTGCCTCGACTACATCTATTTCCATTATTAAATTAAATTGAATTAAATTCATCGGTAATTTTATAACAAATTTTCAATAACTATGATGTAGAGTTACCCAAAGTAGCAAGTGAGAAAGTTTTAGACGACGCATGAAAAATTAAAATATTTTTATTACATGTATATATTGGTAGCAGACGTTACTTACTCTCAGTCATATTACCACATCTCTCACCCAAGCCATGTATATATTATTTTTGTTTTTAATAATAAAGAACACCAAAATGTTAATACTTATTCAGTATTGTCGACATCTTTCAGAAAACATTAGATTAGTAGATTCTTTAAAAACATAGGGAACATACTGAACACAATATTATATACATCACTATTTTATCCACAAATAAAATTAAGTTATTGTTATTGACCGATAAAATCCGTATGCTCTTAATATGTACCTCAGTAAACACTAATCAGTAGAAATACGTTTGTTAATTTGTAAGTTTTTAATTATAAAGTTACTGATTATAAACCAAACAAATCAGTATCAAGTATCCAAAAAAAAAAAACACATTAAAATATGAAATAATTATTAAGTTATGTTATTATATTATTATGTACCTAAACCAACCTTTTTTATATTAGGTAATATATTAATATACAATAAAAGTACAATAATTTTTTTCTTTCAATTTTGAATGTAATATTTTTGATAGCACACATTAGAAAAAAAAAATAATTTTGGCCACATAGTGTTTAATAATTTTCCATTCTTGGTGTAGGTGAAAGTGATAAAATCATATTTCATGATATAGCAAGGAATTATAATTTATTATCAATAAAATACATTAAAAAAATGTAATCTCTGAGGTTTTTAGGACCGCAAAAAAATTGCACCTTAAAGAAATTCTATGAAATATGTATTGTATGTCATTTTTTGTGAACATATTTTTTACGGACATTCTGTTATAAAATCATTACTAGGTACCTTTATAATTGTGTTCTGTTGTAGCTTACTGATCAAGTGTTAGAGTTATTATTTTATTTTTGTTTGATACTTTTTATAGCAACAATGTATAACTATAGTGTAATAAATTATAAAACATGATTAATATTTTGTTTTTATTCATTAATATTAAATTAAATATTATGCTGTTATACATATTATATAGATTCATCGGCTATTACCTTGGTTTGAGTTTTTCATCATTGAACCAGTTGAAAAAAATAACATCATTTTTGATACAGAGAAGAATTTGATGAATACCAAAATGCCAATATTGATTTTGCATGCACGTGATGATATTGTAATACCTTACCAACTAGGTGAAAAGGTAATCTCATCATTCTCGTTTTAACTTTAGAGTACTGTAAATAATCATAATTTGGTTATAATAAAATCTTAGTTGGTGATTTATTTATTATTAACCCTAAAATATATTATATTAGCAATCAATTGTTATTCGTATGTATTTTAATTTCTTAGAAGTTGCAAACATTTTATAATAAACTAATATTAATTAAACTTATTGGTGCATTTTTGTCTACAAATTTATTACTAACAATTAATTATTTTTATATTTTTTAATTTTAGTTGTACACACATCTATTGGAAACTAGAAAAAATGTTACTACTAAATTAGTGTTGTACGACAAACATTTTAAGTATGGGCATAAGCAAATATGTAAAGATAAAGAATTAGGAAATAGAACTCGGTGAGTATTTCAGATTATTTTTAAGAGTACTTATTCTAAACAATTTCTTATGTATTATACTCATAGAATTGAATAATATATATTCAAGCTGTCAAAATAATATTTTTTATTTATCATATATGTTGAATAATTAAAGATGTGTATGTGTTTATTTTTTCAGGAAATTTATCAACGAGTCTATAAACAATTTACCTCAATAAATGTTTATATTCTCTTATCTGCCATTAATATAGACACGTATAGCGCATGCAGATAATATGAATTTTTTTATTGTATTTGCTTAGCTCAATTTTTATTGTTGTATGATTGTATCTAAATCATCTACAATAATATCATTATGAAAGTGATACTACTTTTTAGCACAGTAATAATTTAATAAAAATTAATGTTTTTGTAATTGTGACAAATATTCTATTGGTGTATTATTGTGTACCTTTTACAATTCATTTTATACTATTACATTGTTTGTACACCATTTATTTTCTTCATTTTTCTTTGTAATTATTTTTGTTGTCATTAAAAATACTTGTGATTTTTTAGTAAATGTATAATCAATGTTAAAGCTTGTTCCAATTATTATGATATAAAAAAAAATAAATTAATAGAAAAGTGCAATGTTAAATTTAAATATAATTAAAAATAGTTCATTTTATATTATGATGTTAATTTTAAGTTTTTTTTTGATTGACTCTTATATCTTAGTAAATTATAGTATACTGTATACTTAAATGTTTAATCTTGACAAAAATTATAGAAGTTTACTTTTGTTATTTATGCATTGTTATTTTTGATCTGTGCATCATTTTATAATACAATAACAAATGTTTATCATATCATACTATATGAATTCAGAAAAAAATAAACCATACTACTTACTTCGCTCAATTTTAATTCTACTATACTCCAAGGAAATCCTGGTTATGCACCAACATTTTTGTTGGTGTACCTTAAAATGTATGAGCATCTATTGAAGTATATAATAATGTACCTATTTCACCATGATTGTATGGTTCTATCACTTATATAATTGATATTAAGTAATAATGACGATAAAGATACAGCAAGAGTGTTTAAGATACTTGATTTTATTTATTGTTATTTTTTTAAATGTAAAATACCCCACCAACAATTTTTCATTTGGAAAAACATTCTTAAATTTTTTTATTTACAATAAACATAATCTACATTATGTATATATGTAAATATTCAAAACATTTATAGAGTTGAATTTTTACCTTCTATAAGCAATGCTTGAATTGAGAAATAAGACAAACAATTTTAAGTACTATATTTTTCACTTTTCCATTAGAATTCAATACATTATTTATAAATTTGCACTTAATATAATAATTTAAATTTATACTAATAATATCAAAAAAGGTAAATTACTTGAATAATATTCCTACAGATACAATTAATATACATGAAGATGAGATGTGTCAAACAATTAGTAGTACCTCTGAGATATAAAATATTAATTCATCAATATTATTAAGTATTTTTTGCTCATAGAATTATTTATAATCATTATAGTTATAATTATATAACTATTGAGGTTGTCTTTTTGCCAATTTATATTCAGCCTTTTAGAGAGATTTTTTGGAATAGTTGGAGATTACATTTGGGAGATAATAGGGTTTTTGTGATTAGACATTTATTGTGAAACTATAATAATATTGTTGAGCTTGCTTTTTGATTTTGGGGATATGTATGTCAATGTGTAAATTTAGGGGGTGCATGTTAAGTGTGGCAAAATATAACTTTTTTTTAAAGAGGAAATGTAAACTGCAACAAAAAAAGCTTTACATGATACAATCTGCAACAAAAGATATAATTAACAAACTACAGCAATTTATTTTATAAACCTACAATACACTGTGTATGCTGATCGATATGATAACAAATTATATAGGTAGGTATGTAAATCATACAATAAAAAATATACCTATGTGTTATTACATAGGTATATTGTTTAATTGATGATGTCATGTTGAGTACAAATTGGTAAGATAAATCAAAATATATTTTTTAATTTTAACATAAGTACCTACATACTATATTAAATATTGGTTCATAAACTTTTGATAAAATTAATAATACCTCCTTACTAGTATAAACTATTAGATGTCAGTAGAAGTAGTTTAAGAACTTTAATACCTTATTCAACATGGAATTTACAACAATTTTGGTCCAAATTGGCAAAGAATTAATAGTGTTAAAACAATTTTAAATTTAAATTTAAATATTAATAATCGAAAATAAGTGGTTATAAAATCATTTTTTTTATATAATAGAATACCATATTATATATTATATATTCTTATATAGATTGAATGTACATAATTTAAAATATAATACATATCATAAAGGTTTACAAAAATATTATTATAGTAGGTAATAATTTATTTTGACTTCTTAAATGCAACAACTTAATTCGTTTTACCAAAAGGAAAGTCAATAAAGTTGAAAATTTCAATTCATTATTTCAACTACTTAACGTGTACACAAAAAAAAAACACACACACATATATCATTATTAAATCAATAAATTTATCAATCCGATTGCCGATTCCACTCAGAATGTAATAATTATAGTATTATTCGTTTTTTTTCAACAATATTATTAGGTAAGAAATTAATTTTCTTTTAACTCTAATTTATAAGAACGATCGTCAGGTAAATGGATCATTTGGATTTTGGTGAATTATTTTATCAATGTAAAATTATTTTTTGGTAATTGCAGAAAAGTGGCAAATATAGGAAGTTATATAATATAGGTACCGAACTACCGACAATTAATATACTTTATTGCTTTGTGGGCTGCGAAGATGCAACAGCCAACAATCGACATTAGTAATTAGTCTATCAGTCGTGGTCAATAAGACGTATTATCATGTTATTGTTGTCATCATGAAGATTAGAGATCTCTAATCTTCATGGTTGTCATCTTGTGGCGACTTTTGTCCCACGACAAACGTACCGGTATTTTCGGGTCTCAACCGTCGCTCTCACCGACAGTCGTCGTTGGTAGGTACGTTTGCAGTTATCAGTTGATATTACCGGCCGTAACACACCGTTCACCAGACTATCACGAGTACCGCATTTTTAGTAAGAACTATTTTTTTTGTGCTGTTGTATGTACGTGAATTATTCTTTATTAAATATATTTTGTCTACCAGTAATCCGAGTATTCCGAGTGTTAAATCATTAAATATTTTGTAGGGTACTTAACGTAAAACTCCTTTACCCCTTATACCTACAAATTCGAATATTGCTATAATGAGTATAATCTAAACGTATTGTCGTATTATCATTGATAATATACTGGGTCTTCTGGAGTCGTAGACCGTAGTACCACAAGTCCACGCTTTACTTAATTCTGTCGATTTTTCTCATTGTTTCGTGTTTGAAATCTGTTATGGTTTAAAGTCAGCCATGTTAGTCTTATCCAACGTTGTCATTATTCGTAATGGATAACCTAACGTTACACCACTATTATGGACTACAGTAATTCTGAATAAAAAAAACATACACTCTTTTACTGTCGATCAGTATTGAAGATTATATTTACAAGTAAATATAAATGTAAGTACTCACAGTTTTAGCTATTATAATAATTAGTTTAACATTTTAAAAATTGCTTTGGTATTGTAGTGAGCTGTGACTACTTGTATATTTGTTACGGGCAATGTGGAATACCGGGCAATGTAAACCACAAATTTCTTTTTAATCAATTAATTTTATTTTTATTATTATTATAAATTATAATTATTACATATTTATAATATTGATTTTATTTTAAAAACAATTATTATTAATTTTATACATGTATCATGTGTGTCATGTGGGCAGGACCACATTGTCCGTAGCATATATATCACGATGTAAATATATACATATATAAGCCCATGATATTAGCACAACTATAGGTTATATGAATTATGTTAGAATAACATTTATATGCAACCTGAAGTCTGAAGTTACAGTATACTTACTATTTACTAGTGAATCTCAGTCTTCAAGTGGTATGAATCCCAGTCATCTGGACAGTACTTATAAAAACGATTCATGTTTTAAATTAAATAGATTTTCTTTAATATAAGTACCTACACCTTTTTTTCTCATTAGTTTTTTACTTTACATATTTTTATGATTTCTGTTCAACATGTGTAGTTTCTGAGCTATTAGAGCTATTTATCCATTAAAGAAGATCATTTAGGTTTATATTCACTAAGGGACTATTCAATTCCCACTTCATTCACCAAAAGTTTTTTTTTGCATTAAGTCATCTCAACAACCATAGACCTTCAATTTTTTACATATTATTATAGAGGAAAGTATCAATCATTCCCTGTCACTGTGAGCTCCAATTGCCATGTTGAATTCATTCTAGGTCACAAAACAAAGCGTATATAATACATTTAAATTGTACATTTATATAAACAATACACTTATGGATTTATTTTGTTTTTCTAGAAAATCATATGAAATATTTTATCAAGTTATCCAAGCATATTTATCACATTCAAAGAAATATGTCTTCTTTTAAGTTACTTTTGTGGGAAAATTCAATGTTTGTCAACTGTTCGATTCCAATGGGTGAAACTGAACAAAAAATTATTGTAATTCTACAATCACCATTTAACAAACTTAAAAAAATAAATTTGTGCAGAAGTCCAGAAGATACGATAAGAGTATTTATTGACAGACTGGCTTTAAAATTATCACAAACTCAACCCAAAAGTGAAAATGAAAAACTTAGGAAAGATTGTGTTTGTATTAAAGTGAATGGAATCAAAGTACCTAATAATTCTAAGTGTTATGAAATATTTGAGGAAATAAAAGAAAATATTACGCTTCAAATTAAGGATCATACCTTTAAAGTAATAGTTAATGCACCAATAATAACCGAATTTAAATTGGGATATCCTCCATATCAAGGACTAATGATATATCCCTATGCATTTAACCAGGGATATAATGTCTCTTTTATGAAAACGCAGTATTTATGGTACAGAATTAATTCAAATGATGAAATAGAAGTTGGCAATGAAATGACCTATACGCCCAGTGCTGAAGACGTTAATTGTCATCTAAAATTGGTTTGTAGGCCTTTTAATGATGCAGGCCAATCGGGACCTTCAGCAGAAATAACAACTTCACCAGTCTTAGAAAATACCATTACACTTTTCCCGTTTGAAAAGAGGTTAAAAACTAAGCCACATGATAGGTAATGTAAATTAATTATTTATACTTGTATTCCAACCAATAATAATGGACACTATAATTTTAGCAATAATTGAGTGGTGTATTTATTTATTTTTAATCCAAAATAAAATCTATATGTTATTAAATAATAATACTTAAAAAACACCAAATTCTGGTTGTTATTATTATAAGGAGTTAAATAACTTTGTTTATTTGTAATTATATGTTGTAGTATTAGAGTTGTAACATACAATATACTAGCTGGAGAGTATACAAAAACTAAGGAAGCGAAAAATGCAATGTTTCCATATTGTCCAGAAGACATTTTATCATCCAGTTATCGGCACCCTCTTATTATAAGAGAAATTCTAGGTACCTTCCTAAGAGATATGATGTAAATAATTTATTTTATGTATAATTCATTATTTATTTGTAGCGTACAACGGAGATATCATTTGCTTGCAAGAAGTGGATAGATATTTTTTTCATAGAGAGTTATGTCCTATATTAAAACAATTTAAGGGCATGACTGGATTATTTTTAAAAAAAAATAGCCGTAGGAATGAAGGGCTGAGTTGTTTTTATTCACCTGATAAATTTAAGTATGTTGTACAATATTATTTGTATTTTTTATGTTGATAAATATTTCAATGATTTAATTTAATCTAAATATATTTCAGTCTATTAGAGAAATTTGATATTAGTTTTAACGACCCAACTACTATAGGATTATACTGTGGACCTGTCTTAGAATGGATTAAGGATAATGACATTTGGAAAGAAGGATTAGAAACAAAAACTGTTTTCCAAGTTAGTGATTACTGATATTTACTGATGTTTATGGAATTTAATTTAATTAAAAAAAAAATTAGGTTTTGCTTGTTCGTGTTATTTTATGTTATAAAATAATTATTAGCAATTGATTTAAAAAATACGTATACACAAAAATTGAACTAACATATTTTCTTGTTTTACAGGTCCTAGTTTTAGAACTGATATCTGACAAAAAACAATTATTCTTAGTATGCAATACTCATTTGATATCTGATCCAGAAGGTGATTTCTTAAGATTGTTTCAAGCTTTAATTGAACTAACTATTATTAATAAAATAAAACAAAATATAAGCAAAGAAGTAAGTATCCTAAACTGAAAAATTATTCAACTTTATATTTAATAAAATAATTTTCATTATGTTTTTATTTTTAAAATTATTAGGGAGTGACCATATAAATAATTTACCATTCTAAATTGTATACAAAGATTTCTTAATATTAACTAACATATTGTGTTAACTAATTTTCGACAGTGGTTTACCCTGTAAGATGAACCTTCATTAGTATCATAAAAGGGATTAGATTATTTTTACTTTATTTTCTTTTTAATACCAAATTATTATTATGAAATATCTTTTATCATAAACATGTATATTAAAATAACATTACATTACCTACATAAAAATCAAGAATAAATAAATGTAATGTAATCGTTAGTGGCACCATCTAAGAAATCAATTAGAATCATTTTTTTCAAATAACATAAAAAAAAGAGACCCATAACTTTGAATAATTTAAAGTTGACATAAATTCGCTGTGAGGAGCATACAAACAACTATTTTCTTTGCAAATGTGATTTTTATTTTTATACTAATCGAAAATTAATAAGATATGATGATTAAAAAAATTTGAAGGCATAAATTATAAATATAATAATTTTGTACTCAATTTCAGTATCTTGGACGTAATGTATCTGTTATATTCTGTGGAGATTTCAACAGTACACCTGAAAGCGGTGTTTATGATTTAGTCACCAAATTATTATTATCAGAAGAATACAGTAAATACATTTTTATTATTATTTATATTTAAATATTTTTCCGGCTCGAAGTTAATTTAGAGAGACATTTAAAATAATTCAATTTTCCGCTTATTGTATTAAATAAAAAGTAACTTGTTACATAACTTAGTCTAAAGTAACTTAATTTTAACTTTTTAACTCTTTAATGCCTAGCCTTGCATATAAGTTTACATTTCACAACTCACAAGTACCAATATAATCCTGAATTTGTATAATTTATGTTATTTTATTTTTTTCAGAAATGATGAAAGTATACAGTGATTTAAAAAATAATCTTGAATTTGAAATGGAAAGTGCATATGATATTGATGTTCTGTACAGTAATTATACTGCAACTTTTGTTGGTCTTCTAGATTACATATATTTTACCAATCAACATCTTGAGCGTATTCAGGTAAAATATATTATGTGCAAAGTATTTTTGTGAGGCTAAATTAATTTTTATTTCTAGGTATTAACCATGCCATCACATGATGATGTTATCCAATTCGGTGGTATTCCGAGTAAATTATTTCCTTCAGATCATTTAGCTTTAGTTGCAGACTTTAAAATAAAATAATGCATATAATGTATATTTTCAAATTTTTTCAATAGTACCTTTTTTAAGTTTGCATACTATTTATTATGGTGCTACAATAGCAATATAATTTAAGTAAATATTGATTCGATTTGTTCCTATTTTACACCATAATCATATTAGTTGTGTTTAATGATATGGCCTTAATTTTTTTTTATGTAAAGCAATCTTAATTTGTAACTGTTGCTCATTTCTCTTTTTATTATTTAACTAAGTTAGCTTTAACTTTATGTTATATTCATAATTTGAGCCTTAGAAAAATTATAGAATTATTATTGTAAAAATTTATAAACAAATTTTTTATATTTAATACAATTATGCATTTATCTGTGATAAGTATGTATAAATAGGCAATTATAAAGTTTGTAATTGGCATCTACTAGGCAAAGATTTTTTTTATATTTCCTTATTTTGTTGAACAAGATGTGAATTTGAAAAAATAAATTTTTAAGAAGATGTCAGCTCAAGATTTGTTTTTTCTCAGACCCATGTGCAACATAGTAAAAATGCATTCACGTAATATAGTTTTTTTTTTATCATTGTGAGTGATCTTAAATTAAAAACATCTATTATAACAATATTATAGAAGAGAATATTTTTGAGGGGTTGACATATTATCGGTTTTTTATCTTACTATTATTATACTTAAAATTTGTTTATTTTGTACTATGTGTTATCTGTAAACCACATGAGATACACTTTTGTTTGAGAATACATCTCCAGTGCATTTTCTATCTGTTTGAATCGCTGGTGTGTCTTTCTAACTCTTCCTAACATTTGGATCGAGTATCATGGTGTTCACACTTAACAAGTGAAGCACGGCAGTTCAGCTATCAACCAGGCCAATCAGCCCACTTCATCTCAGCAAGGACCTGACCTCTAACTCCTGAATGGTTAATTATTGTGACTCAAATTCATAACTAAATTAAGAGAACGCTACACCTACATGTGTTGTCTCCGTCCTACAAACGTACAACATATCAAAAACTGTTTTGTGCGAAATAGAACCACTCAAGCTGTAGTCCAAGATAAGGAACCAAATTTTTACACTGTAAACAAGAGAACATTTATGGTATAACATCGTTTTAATTTTTTTCGATATCATAAATACAAGAAAAGTTCTTATTGCTTATAAATTATTTATTTCAAACTTGAATAACTTTTCTTGTATTTGTTTAAAAAATAAAAACGATGTTGCACAGAAGATGTTTTCTTATTTAAAGTGTGAAAATTTGGTTGCCTAGCTTGGACTACAGCTTGAGTAGTTCTATTTTGCCCAAAATAGTTTTTGATATGTTGTACGTTTGTAAGACGGAGACAACACATGCGGGTGTAGCGTCCTCTTAAGTCTTGATGTAATATATATATTGTTCCATATATGTTGAACCTGACATGTACAATTTATTGTAGTATACTTAATTTTTAAAAACACCGTGGTTTTGGTAGGAGGAGCATAGGCTGCCAGTGCTAACCATATCAGTAGGATTGCCATTCGTCCCAGTTTTAACAGCATGTCCCAGTGTTTCGGCCAGTCATTAATTATGTCCCGGTTAATGGAAGCCGAGCGAAAATAACTTTCATACATATAAAGAATAATTTAGCTGTATTGAAAAAAATCTATTTAACAGAAAATATCAAAATTAGCTTATAAGTTATAACTAATAAAATATGTAAAATGTAAATGAAATAAATGTAGTGTAGGTAAAAAAAATTGTATTGGTTTATTAATTTTAAATACAAATATTTATTATTTTCATACACCCATATAATTATACTAACTTTACTGAAAAAAAAATAAAAGGTATTTTAATAATATGAATTCCTGGTTTGGTTTGGTGAGTTTAAAATCTGACAATCCTACATATCAGGTACGTACGTAACCAACACTTGTCGATAAAAAGCAAAATACCATTTAGTTATTTGTTAGTTTCTTAGAAAAATTGGTGAAATAGTAATTTATTAATAATTAAAACCTCTAATAATAGATTATAGGTCTATAGAGTAACTACAATTATGCAATTATGCATATTTTGCATATTTTGAAGAGTACTTTGTAGGACATTGTTATTTTAACACCCCTTGTTAGGTTCAAGACCATGTTTTTGAGTTCAACCCATCAATAGATTTTAATCAAAAGTGTATGGATAATGTTAATTTTATCAGAGCTGATGGCTGAAGTCCACAATCGCATTAATTTTCCAAAAGCTATAGTTAAACACTAGAATAATTTAGTCGTACGAGGGGGCGGGGAGCGTAACATTTTTATATTAGGTATATTGGCCATGGATAAAATGCATGGGATTAGGATGCAGTCCTGCAACAGCTGCTGTAGTTGTAGCATAGAACAATAGTAGTTGCAATTGTAGTGGTAGGTACTGGCACAGACTAATTATAATATAGGCATATCTTAGTCCGTGCCCCGTGGGTACCGGTTGTCTGTGGTTATGGTTTTTTTTTTATCGCTCTCTGGTACACATAACGTTTCGACATCTTTGTCCACCGCCCGGCCGGTCACGTCGTCGCAATCACAATGTCCTACGGGTGGTAGCCAGCGATGTGCGGTCGACTGTTTTGTGTTTGAGGTGAAAATAAAAACTAACCTTTAATGAATAGGATGATATTATTATTATGTTTGCAATTCGCAGTCACTCGCGCGAACGATAGTAATATTATTATTTAATATTTAATACGCGTCGTAGGTCGAGTGTCGCGACGTCGGGTCTACTCGCTGCCGCCGACTCGAGAGTGTGCGTCAAAAAATCCGTTTTTGTTTTCCGAAACGCTTGTACGCACGCACGCACGCACCGTCATCCACACACCAACAGAGCGACAGACGCACATTTCGTTATATTTTTTCGCCGCGTTCATTTCATTGATATCGATTTGTTCATTTCGTACACAGTTTTTTCACAATTTTTCCGTTACCATCCAGGTGGATTTTTTACGCTCTCCCGAACACTCCCTTCGACACATTCACCGTGTGCTCTTGCCTTCAACGCTTTAGCACGTCGCCGTCGTTTTCTTCTTCGACCGTCACACGTCGTCGTCATTCTGGCCGCCCGCAGTGCGAATAGAAATCCGGCCGATATGGCGTCCGCAGCTGCCGCGGCTGCCTATAACCAAAACCGCCGAGTGCCGCCTACGATGCAAATCCAAAAGGTAAGTGAAAACTGTCGGCGTGCGTACACTTTACTAAGGCCTGACGATATGTTTATGTCTACATTAACGAAATTTATGTTGTAACTGATCACGATAAGGTCATAATGAATAGTGGGTATACACACATTTTATTCTGCCAAAGCACTGTTATATCTACCTTATTTTCAAATGTTAAATTCAATTTTTGTGTAGATAATAACAATGTTATTCCCTCAAAACGATTAATGTTATAAGGTTTTAGGCTGCTAAGCCATTTAATTATTAAGGAATGATGTTTCATGGCTTGTCCACCATAAATATATTGATATGTTAATATATATATATATACTACCTATATAATAGAGAGTAGTAGTGTATTCGGAACAGAGTTGGTCGGTTTTTATGTATACTTTAATAGATTGATTAATTTTTACATTTCACGCTGTTTCAAAATTTGTGCTGAATACGTTAGCCATTTCTCGGTGAATATTGGCATTCTAGATAACTGCTGTTGTTGTATAGGTTATAATTACTTTACCAGCCAATCTATTGACTGTCATTGTGTATAGGTATACGTCTATCTTATTTTTCACGGAACATGATGGTGGGATCAGAATTGTTTGTTAACTATGTTTGAATGTTAACCCATTTACTGTCTTACTGTACAACACATTGTGGGATGTTTTTCATTTCAACTGTCTGGCCTAGCAAATGGAACTTTATGTGTATGTTAAGTGAAGTAATAACGACTTACTTAATATGGCTATAACATTAACACTTGAGTTTCTGGCAAAATTCTAACCGTTCATAGCATTCAAAAATACAGTTGTTGCAGTAAAAAAATTGAATCTTAAGTGTTGCTAGGTGAAGTGATTTCATTTTGTTGTATATTTGCTACATCACAACTCAGAAATCCTCATTGTCTGTCCTTATTCATGTCCAACCTATAAATACACATTTTAGACAGTTCTAAGCACTTTATTGATTGTAAGTGTTATTCTATTACCCTAAGTATTACTTGTCATCAGGGTTTGTTTTTAGATGGTATACAATGTTTTTAAATTACTTATATTATATATTTAGGTTTTTACATACCTGCCTTCAAACTGATTGACTACATTTCTTGTATAATGCCTTATTATTTTGAAGTATCGCAAATTGTATAATAAACCTTATGGGCATTACGGGCATTTCTCCTACATACCTAATGCATAATTTTATTCGAGATTTTATTGTATTGTAGTTTGTGATGCCTGTGATGCAATTTAAATATTTAAATTATTCGTATGAACAGCTGAGATACCTAATATAAGAAAATATTGAGGAAAATATTCCATAGTTATTATGCCAAACAGTTTATCTAGGTACCTCAATTGCCGATTAACATTATAAAATCATTGTCGGTATGAACCTGTATGGTAGTCAAGGATTTAAAATCACAAAATTAATTGACAATATTTTATAATAAACTTGGAAATTTTAAATTGTATACCTAGGAAATTGGGGTTTTTAGTAGAGTTAATTAAAAAAGTATTTTAAATCAATGAATGCAATTGATTTTTAACTGGTGTTATTTCAGTATTTACAAATTATTATTTATAGTATTACTCATGTTTATAATTTTGATTTTAAAAAGTAATTCAAACTCTGTAATTTACCAATCAAAAATTGTATTTTGACTGAAATTTAAATACATATTTACCTATGTGCAAGTTCCAACTAATTAAAGTAATGTAATACAGTAATTATTTATTTTGACTAGTACAACGTAAACATGGAGGTGGAAGTTGTGAAATCTAGAAATGAGGATTTAATACATACTATCTAATTTTCATTTTTTCCTCTAAAATTGATGATTATTTATTCAATATTTTGAGTATAGAAAAAATTATTTTCATTTTAGAAAACCTGGATAAGTCAGGGAATTTTCAAATAAAAAAAGAGTCGCAATCCAAATAGGCACTTACCTATAGATAGGAACATAATAAAAAAAAATTACTTACTTAATGCAATATAAATATATTATAAAATATGCTAGTAATATAGGCTGGACTATATTTATGTATACCTAAAATAGGTGTATTTTATTTATATTGGGTTTAAAAAATATAATATAAACTCAACAGATAGTATGTCAAATATTTTATTTTGTAGCTAGGTACATTACGATTAATAATTAATATGTATCTATATTTTAGATACTTGATGAAAACGCGCAACTGATTTCGACTATTCAAGAATTTCAAAGTAAAGGAAAAGCTCAAGATTGTGTTCAGTAAGTTTAGTGGTTACAATTATTTACTACAACTGTGATTAACTTAGT